ATCATGGTAATCATGATAGGTTTAGAGTAGTGATTATCAGTGATTTCAACTGATGATCATAACAGCCAATCTACGTTGAGCTCTTGTGATGTGCCAGACACACACATTCTAGCAGTTTCCATGTATTTTTCCATTTGGTCTTCATATCTGTCCTACTGAAGAAGGCCCGATTAGTATCCTTTTTCATAGACAACACAAATGGGAGCACAGAAAAGTTAAAGTAACAATTAGCAATCGGCAGGGTATAAATTCATAACTGGGCAATGTGATTCCAGAGCTTGCATCCCTAATCTTCTAGATTCTTCTACACATTAAAAAAAAAAATGATGAAATCCAAATCATAGCCCTTGAATGTCTTCTAGTCCGTAACAGTTTTCAGCCTTGCTTGTCATGATTTGGGCATATTTGAGGTGTGCTCATCAGGGATTTTGTACAATGTCCCTCGTTGGGGGTTTAAGGTTGTTTTCTCATGGTTCAACTGGGGTTATGGATTTGGGGGAAGAACACCACGGCGGTGACGTGCCCTTCTCATCACATACTATCAGGCAGTGTGAAACGTGACTCATCCCTGGAGAAGTTAACTGTGATCACTTCGCTGAAGTGGAGTCTACTGGGTTTCTTCACCATGACGTTACCATTGTCCCCTTCCCATAAGCTGCTGGGAGCAAATAACCAAGTCCACTGCTTAGTCAGAGGGAGGAGAATTAAGCTCTATTTTCTGGAGAAGGGATTACCTATACAGATTATTTAGAATTCTTCTATAAGTAAGACTTGTTTCCTTCCTCATATATTTATTTATATCCCTATGTGCTCGTATACATTTATTTTATTCTCTTAGTTATAAACCAGTGCTATATTTATTTAGTTGCTCAAAATGTCTCAGTTTAGCCACTGGGAGTGTTTTCAGTTTGGTTCACGTGTCCCTTTGATATGTATCCCCTTTTCTCTCCACTCTCTCTCTTTCTCTTCCATTCTCTCTCTTTCTCCCTCTCTCTTTCTCTTAGCACTCCCTTATTTTCTGGTAGTAACAACATGCTCCAGGCTCATCTTGCGTTACCCCTGTCCTAGTCCTAAAATCAGCCAGTTTTCCAAGGATTCCTGGTTTCTTTTACTAGAGACCGAAATGGTAGTAGAAGCAAATCTGGGAGCTGAGTGCACTCATGGCTAAGGGGGTGCCACCATCCTAGGTCCTTTTGACAGACAACGTTAAGAAAGAAATAGATATCTACTAATGTTTGTGTACATATATTTCTATTCAGGAAAACCTCCATAGCTGACCACCTCCTTACATTGACCACCTCCTGAAGTTGACCTAATTTTCATAGACTGGACATGCACCACATGTACATATGTATCAGCACAGTAGGCCTAGTTCCTTATGTTGACCACCTCCATGTTGATCAGTTGGCTATAATTCCTTGGCTAGTCAGTCAATTACAGAGGCTCTGGTGTATTAACTTCTGCATCTCCATCTACTAATCTGGGGATAGATAGATTACAGTAGATAGATTTGTATTTTCATATGTGACTCTAATCTAAAACCACAGGGTTTAGTCTAGTTTCCCTCTTTCACTTGTTTCTAACTTCTTTCTCTGACAGTGTAAACCTGGATCCTATTTACTTACTGCTACTTATTTACTCATTCATTTAACCTTAGTTTGACATGTAAAGCTGTCTCGAGATTAGCCTGGTGAGAAGCAAATTTACCAACTAGAGTACAATGTTTAGATACAGATCTTTCTGCCTTTAGACTTAAACTATTCAGTCAAAACATTGTGTTCCAAAATTATATAGATCAGCAATTCTTTCCCTGCCTGCTTTAGTGAGGTTATGTCACACACATCTGTAATGCAGTAAGCTTTTCGTTCACAGTCTGAATTTCATCCTGGGATTCCCCCAACAATGAAGTTCTTTACTCTTTGTAATGTGTTATTCTATGGGCTTTGACAGATTCATGGGGTCCTGAGTCCACTACCCTAGTATCATGAGGAATCTAATGAAACTTGTGTGGTCCCTTAGTGGTCAATTCCTCCTCTAATCTCTGGTAAGCACTGATCTGGTTTCTGGCCCCATAGTTTTGCTTTTTCCATAATGTCATCTATGTGGAATTATAGAACACATAGTCTTTCGGGTCTGGCTTCTTTCCAGTGGATCCATGTAGGGATAGGAGTCAACAGCTTGTCCCTTTCAATGCTGAGTAGTATTCCTATGTGTGGCTATACCACAGTTTGTGTTTATACATTCCCCTGTCTGAGGACATCCTGGTGGCCTCCAGTTCCTAACAATTGTGATGAAAGCTACTATAAACTTTGGGTAACTTGTTTTTGTGTGGTCATAAGTTTTTGATTCACTTGAATAAATACCCAGGACTGTGATTGTTGGTTTATATGCTAAGTCCATATTTAACTTCATGAGAAACTGCCACCATTTTCCAAAGTGACTACTGTGTTCTCAGCAGTGGTGAATGAGAGTTCTTACTGCCCTGTGGCTTCATCATCATTTGGTATTGTCTCTTTGATTGATTTTTTAATAATTCTAATTGGTGTTATCTAAGTATGGTTTTAACTTAACACTTCCCTAGTGACAGACAATGCTGACCGTCTTTTCATATGCTGTTTGGCAATTATCTGCCTTCTTTGATGAAATGTCTATTTAGATGGATTGCCTATTTTTTAACTGGGTTATTTTGTTTGCTAATGGCTGAGTTTTCAGAGTCCTTTAAGTATTCTGGATACAAGTCTTTCATCAGGTGTCTGATATATAAATATTTTTCCCAGTAAAGTTTTTAATCTTGATGAAGCACAATTAATCATTTTTTTCTTTTATGAATTATGCTTTTGATGTTGTATCTAAAATTTCATCATCAAACCCAAAGTGCTACAGATTTTCTATATTTATTACTATTTTTCTCTGTTGACTTACTATTTACACTAACATCTTTGATGCATTTTAAAATTAATTTTCATATAGGATATGAGGTATATGTCTTCCAATATGCCTTTTTAAATTTTAGTTGTTTTGCACCTAGACAGACATTGTTCCAGTACCATTTATTAAAAAGACCACTGATTCTCCATTCAATTGAATTTATGTCTTCATAAAAATTCAACTGACTACATTTTTGTGGGTCTATTTCTAGACTCTCTATTCTGTCCCACTGGCCTGTGTGTTTATCTTGCCACTAACATCACTCTGTCTTGCTTACTATAGCTTTCCATTAAGTCTTAAAATCAGTATGAGTTCTTCAATATTGTCCTTTTTCTGAATAGTTTTGGCTATTCTAGCCTCTTTACCTTTCTGTCTAAGTTTTAGGATCATCTTATTGATATTTTCGAAACAACTTTCTAAGATTTTGATTGAGATTCCATGGAATCAAGAGATCAAATCTTAATAATATTGAATCTTCAAGTTCATGGACATAGTATATCATTTCCATTTATTTAAGTCTTCTTTAATTTTTTATCAGCTTTATAGTTGTCAGCGTACAGATCCTGCACATAGCCTATTAGATTTAAATCCAAATACACCATTTTTTGAATTTCTATTTTCTATTGTTAGGATAGAAGAATATGGATAGCTTTTGTATATTTACCTTGTATCTTGCAATCTAATGCAAAATGGGCATTTTTGAAAAAGAAAAAAGATAATCCTTCTCTGTTTTCTCATTGGTTAGTAAAAGCCCTCTTTCCAAGGATTTTTGGAAAAGGTGTTTGAAGAATAAACCTATACATTTTCTCTTATTATAGGCAGTTCACAGAAAAAGATCCAGAAATGGCTCCTAAACATAAGAAGAGATGCTCAACCAGCTTGAAATAACAGAAGTAGAAATGGAAACTATGTTGAGATACCCAGTTTCATGGCTCAGACAGGAAAATATTAAGAAGTTAGATAACACAGTGTGCCAGCCAGGCAGTAGGAAATCAGCCTCATCTTCCAGATAGAAGCTTAGGTGCAAGGCAGTTTGAAAATATCAAGTGAAATTACAAAATTATACTTTTTGACCTAAAAATTACATTTCCAGGAATTTCCTCCAAGATATTCTTGCAAAGGTACAGATGACATATTTATAAAATTATTAATTATGTTTATAATAGAAGACTTCGATAATGTAAATGCACATCAATATGGAATCGGCTGAATAAGTTACATTATTACAGTGCAGCTAGACAGTTATATCTGCAGTGTAACAATGAATAAACTAAAAGTAGATTTCAACAAAACCTTCACATTACTGGCAGATGAAATAAGAAAACGATGATCCGTTATGTGCAACCAACAATAAGCTTGTACATAGATCTACATATCCCAGTGAGAATTAATTTCAATCGTGTCATTATATCTGAACATACAAATTAATAGACCTTGAAGCCAGGCCTTCAATTACTGGTTCATAAAGTATTAAATCACACTTTCCAAAAATAATACTATCCTACCTATTTCACTAAAAATATTTTATTACTGACAATTGAATGATAGCAAAAAAAAAAAAAAAAATGAGGTGCTGTGAATAAAATGTTGAGATGTTAATTTCATCCCTATCTCATCCATTTTTAAACTTCGGTTTTGTGAATGTTTATAATTTATATAACATATTGGCCCAGAAGCCCAAGAGTGGGTTTGTAATTTAATATATACCTGCTGGGTCTATGTGCTTTTCTTTCTTTAATGATGCACTTTGTTACAATGTTTGGGGACTGCTGCTGTAAAGAAGAGCTCTCCCTTGGATGGAGGCCCTGGCCAAGTTGTATAGTCGGAGAATTGTCAAAGGGAAGAAGGAAAAAGAGAGGTAAGGAAGGCCCAGAATGTCGTCATCCCCGGCTTCAGAGCGTGAGAGTGCAGTCTATTACAGCCTTAGGTCCACAGAAGTAGAATTCTAGCATCTCTAGGCAGTTGGAAACAAAGGAATTAAGAATTCTTCTTTCTCGAAGGCTCCAAAGGAAGGCTCTTGAGCTAGGAAAGGTTGGCTCGTGCCTTGTAAGAATCAGACATGGCTTCACGGGATGAAGGAAGCTGGTGTGAGCTGCTAGTCACTGACTGAGTAAGTACAGCAGTGTTTCTTCCACATAACCACCTGAGAAATCATTTGGTGGGGGAAGGCATCCGAAAAGTGCCTTTTCAACAAGACCTAAATGATTCTGATGAAGCCACCTGTCCCAAAGACCCAGCAAGGGCAACCCTCGGCTTGAAGGATGGTAGAACATTATGTTCAGGGCTTACCATTGCCCTGGGGTTTTGTTTTGACTGAAGACCAGTAAGATTCTGAGACAAGGGATACAAACCTGCTTTATTTGTGAGCTCTGCTCCTTGGACCACATTTGTTTGCCTCTCAGTGCCTACCACAATGCTGTACACCAGGGGCAGGCATGATTTTTCTGTAAAGGGCCATATAATAATACAACAGGCTTTGTGGTCTATACCGTCTCTAACACAACTACTGAGTTCTGCCCCTATAGTGGAAAAGCAGCCACAACTATTATGCTTCAGACGGAGATAGCTGTGCTTCAGTGAATCTTTAGTTACAGAAGCAGGCCTAGTTTGCAGACTCTTGCTATTCACATGTGTATAATCTACATGTCCCGTATGAAACGCAGTCCAATGCCTTATTGCTTAGTTACTTTAAAGCCCACATCGTGACTCCCTACTTTGGCCCTGCTGAATACTCAGCCCTATTTTTTTTTTTTAATTTCAGATTAATATGAGGATACAATGTTTAGGTTACATTGTTTTCATTGCTAAGGTAGAGTTCAAGTTGTAGCTGAGCCCTTCCCCTAGGGGGCGTGCTGAACACCCTCACACTGTGCACAGTAGGTGAGATCCTGCCCATCACCCTGCCACCTCCTCGTTCCCCTTTCCCTTCTCTCCCCTCCCTCTCACTCGAATACACTTGTGTTTTTCTTTCACATGGGTGCGTAGTTCTTCATATATGGGTTTCCTGTTAGAATTGAGTATATTGGATGCTTGCTTTTTCCATTCTCATGATACTTTACTAAGAAGAATGTGTTTCAGCTGCATCCAGGCTAGGAATCTGCCAGAGGGCTGATAACTAGAATCTACAGAGAACATAGCCCTATTTTTTAGCCTACCCTTTCAATGGGAGAAAAGCTAATCCCAGGGAAAGAAACTAATAACTTGAGAAATTACTAGGCAAGTGCAGAAAATGATACTGGAGGAAAATTACGTCTGAATGTCAGGTTCAGTATCCTAAGCAATAATCAGAAATGTCATTTCACTCCATCTCAGCAAAGTCGTGCCATTAGGGAAGACATATTATTTCAAGAGAAGGAGAGAGTGCGGCAAACCGGTAACCAACAAGAGGTCGTGCCCTTGATTCCACTCCGATTTTAAATAATTCAGTGGGGAGTCTCTTTCTGACCCCTCTACACCCCTTACCCATGCTTTCTTCTCCCCTCTTGCTCTCCAGTCAGCTGCCAGGATTTTAGGACACCCCACCAGAAATGTAGTGGGGAGCTCAGAAAAACACTGCACTTGGAAGAAAAAAAGACTGATATTTTGGAAGCAATACTCCCACATTTGGAAATGTATCAAGCTAAGAGAATGAGAAAATGATGAGATCCTTATTCTTCTCCCTTTGATACGCCCCCAACCATAAATATTAAAGTTGCTCATACAAGGCCACCTGTATTTCATCTCTGCCTGAAATAAGGGTGCTGATTTCCCACATACAGTTGACCCTTGGACAATGCAAGGTTGTAGATGCCCCAGTCCCCATGTGGTTGAAAATTCACTTACAACTTTTGACTCTCCAGAAACTTAAGGAATGGCATATTGTTGACGGGGAGCCATACCAATAGTAAAAATTGTCCATTAGCAGGTATTTCATCTGTTGCATGCATTGTATACCATATTCTTACAGTAAAATAATCTAGAGAAAAATGTTACTAAGAAAATCATGGCTTGCCGCCCATAGCACAGTGGTTATGGAACCTGCCACAAACACGGAGGCTGACGGGTTCAAACCCAGCCCAGGCCACCTAAACAACAGTGACAGCTACAACAATAACAAAAAATAGCCAGGCATTGTGGCAGGCACCTGTAAGTCCTGGCTACTTGAGAGGCTGAGGCGTGAGAATTGCTTGAGCCTAAGAATGTGAGGTTGCTGTGAGCTATGATGCTCCAGCACTCTACTGAGGGTGACAAAGTGAGAGTCTGTCTCAAAAAAAAGAAAATCATAAGGAAGAGAAAATATTTACTGTTCGTTAAGTGGAAAGGGGTTGTCATGAAAGTCCTCACTGTCTCCATGTTAAGAGCTGAGGAAGAAGAAGAGGAAGATCAAGGGTTGGTCTTGCTGTCTCGGGCGTAGCAGAGGCAGAACAGGTGGAAGGGATGAAGGAGGGGCAGGCAAGCTCTGGGCAACTTTCATTGAAAAAAAGTCTATGTATAAATGGACCCGTGCTGTGCAAACATGTTGTTCACGGGTCAACTATATAGGGAACGTTTTACCCTTTAGATTCTATTTCTTCAATTCAGAGTTAAGCTGAGAATCCTAAAAGGGCGCCTGGGGTTTCCACTTGGACGTCAATAAAGAAGGGTTAATTTCCCAGGAGTGCAGTGTTGAGATAGAAGTAACATTGAAAAAACATGGAGGAAAGGGCTTGCAATCTAATTCCCCGTCTGCACTTTCTTTCTTTTTCCCCCCCGGATGCTGGTTCTAACTGACTAAAAGGCCCAGGCAACACCTAGGCAGGGCGGTCCACAAAAACAGCTGCCCGATTTTGGAGTTTCCATCAGCAACAGACAACCTCTGAGGGTAAAAGCAAGATTGTCTTCGTGTAAAATCAAAATTGTCTGACCTGGTCTCCCAATCTTTGACAGGTTCTGCCTCCACCAGGCTTCAGGGATGAAGGCTGCGGGCATTTTTGCCCTGATTGGCTGCCTGGTCACAAGTACGGAGTCCAAACTCTACACTCGCTGCAAACTGGCACAAATATTTGCAAGGGCCGGCCTGGACAATTATGCAGGCTTTAGCCTTGGAAACTGTGAGAGCTTTGTTTGTTTTTTCTTTCTTCCTGCACTCTCTCTGTCTTTGACCTGACCTCTGAGATAGTGAAGGTCCCAGCTACCCGCTCTTCTGTTTGCTCCAGCTTTTCCAGGCTCTTGACTGCCCTCCCTTAAGTCCCCCCCCACCAAGGGATGGTTGCTGGGACAGGCACATACCGTCCTCAACTGCTGTTCTCTGAGCCTCTTTCTATAGAGGCTGCCCTGCCCCTCACCTCCTTATTCCTGAAATCCTGTAAACCAGTGAGGGAAAGGGAAAAGAATGTCACCCCTGCTGTCATCGTCAGGGGGAGGACCTGGCTTTTGGTGGTAGCCTAGACTCGGCCACTGACCAGGGGTACAGCTTCAGGTGTGCCATCCCAGCCTTCCAAGGCCCCCAGCAGATGTGCCACCCTCCCTGCCCCACCCCAGGGCTTGTTGGGATGAGAGAATTAAGTAACCGTGGATGAGAAACTCCCCCCCCACCCCAGCCTTAAGAACTGTCTTATAGAAAACAGTGCAATTCCTCTCCCAGCACTCCTGGCTTCTCCCCTCTCTAGGGATCTGCATGGCATATTATGAGAGCGGCTACAACACCACGGCTGAGACTATCCTGGAAGATGGAAGTATCGACTACGGCATCTTTCAGATAAACAGTTACACGTGGTGCAGATACGCAAAGCTGCAGGAGAAGAACCACTGCCACGTTGCCTGTTCAGGTACACTTTTGATTTGCCAAGGATGCCATCCTCGGGGACAAAGGCAAGAAAGCTGATAATGGGATATCGGTTCATTTTCTGCTTTAACTAAGATTTGGCATTCAGATTTGCAAATAGGTCTATTCTACACGAATGAATGATTCACTTGTTCTCCAACGAGCTGTTTAAGGTCCTATGTGCTACTCGTCAAAAAGTGACGTATTGTCTCTAGGATGGTTTTTATTAAACTCTCCACCAAAACAGGGAGGGGGCCCAATGTTACCTTTACTGCCTTTCCATGTATAGAGAAATTTGATATCTTCAGTAAGCAGGAGGAAGCCTCCTCCCAGGAACAACTCACTCAAAGGCTGTAGTTTGGGCTTCTTTGTGCAGAATGAGCCAAATGAATACACTGTACGCTTCTTTAGCAGTAGAACGTAAGCTAGAATCCACTTCCACCGCTTCTTGTACTTTGGCCATTTAAGAAATAAATGTATACACAGCGTTGAGGATACACCCAACATGAATTCTGCTTTGTGAACCTTTTTATGCAATGAGGAAAGACACTATGTACTTCTGTGAAGTGCAATAAATGACTATACACGGGTGTGGATGGAAGCAGTGAGCTTCAGAGGAAATGATAGTATTCATAAAACCATGGCGGGGGGGTTCTGTAAACACAGTGGTATTTGACCTCAGACTTGAAAGATGTCTCTAAGACGTGGGTAGAGATGGAGAAAAGTCATTGCAGGCAAGAAGAGCAGCAGAAGCCAAGAGGTCATGTGAGAAGGCATGGGGCAAGGACAGGGAGCACTGAGATGTTTGTTTTATCTACAACAAAGAGGATGTGATGAGGAATCCCTGGACATGTGGTTGGAAAGGCTGCCTACTATCTGAGCATTGCCTTGAAAGCCAGTCTAAGGAGCTTTTGGTGATGTTTGCCTGCAATAGGGAGCCAGGGAGGGTCAGTAAGACTAATCTGCCAGCATGGTCTGGAATAGATTAAAGAAGAGAACATCGAATTGTTGACGTCAGAGACAAAAAGACCTGAACAGTGGTCATGGTTGGGGACATGGAGAAGTGGAGATGAAAATAAGTGATACTGAACAGGTGGAGGGATGGAGCTCAGTAAATGACTGTCTCGTTTGAGTTAACTCTAGAGTATAAGACCCTTGAAGGCAGGGAATTTTGTCTATTTCATTCATTGATTTCAGTGTCTAGACTGGTGCCTAGACACCACTCTAGTGGCATTTGTAGGCACTCAGCAAATATTTATTAAATAAATAGATGGAAGGAATGAGGAAGAAGGGCGAAGTCAGAGAGTCATAAAATATTCTCTGGAAAATTCCTTGGGAGCAAGAAGTAAACTGTGCTTCAATTTCTCTTTGTCATGTATGGTAGTCCTCTCTTGTCGAAGGGGCATATAATCCAAAACCCCCAGTGGATGCTTGAAGCTGTGGATAGCCCTGAATCCTATGTGTTGCCTATACACATATATTTATGATAAAGTTTGGTTTATAAGTTAGGCACAGTGAGATATTAACAATAATGACTAATAATAAAATACAGTAATTATAACAATGTACTGTAATAAAAGTTATGTGTATAGGTCTCTCCCTCTCTTTCTCTCTCTAAATATGTTATATTAGTAAAAATGACTCCCTGTGGTTGACCAAGCATGACTGAAACCACAGAAAGTGAAAACAGATAAGTCGGAACTATAGTACAAGATAATCAGTATTTATGTTTGACTGTGAGTAATTGAATAATATGTTAATTGATCTAGTACATTTTTCCAATCCTTACATTAATGCAGAATGGTCACTACCTCCTGAGGCAGAGCTCCCTGTTGTTAATTAGTCCTTAGCTTAGAACATTCTTCTGTTAGGCCAAATCTACCTCCTCATGGCTCTCTAGTTTTTCATTCTGTATCTATGCAAAACAAATTTGCTTTCTTTTAAACATAGAAACTTATGAACTGTTTGCAAATGATTCATAAGTATTTTTCATCTGTGAGCTAAAACATTCAGTATCTTTGTCTCTCTACAGGTATGACTAGAATCCTTACTTAGTCTGATCATGTTAGTATTCCCTAAGAGCTTACCAATGGGGGCTTTCAATTAAATATGGTGATTGGACCCATGCATTTAACTCCACAGCAGGCTTGGCAATGGCCCTCCAGAGTGTCCATTCTCTAATCTCTGAAATCTATGAGTATTTTGCCTTATGTGGCAAAAATGACTTTGCAGATGTGATGAAGCGTCTGAATCTTGAGAGGGGGGAGATTATCCAAGGTGATATGGGTGGGCCCAATCCAATCACATGAGTCCTTTAAAGCAGAGAGTCTTGCCCCACTATGATCAGAGAGAGATCTGATGACCGAAGGAGGTAAGATTCAAATGTGGGAGAAACTCGACCCACCACTGCTGGCTCTGAAGAGGATGTAGGAATGTTAAGTGGCCCACAGAAGCTGGGAATGGCCCTCCACTCTCAGCCAGCAAGCAACAGGGATTTCAGTCCTACAACCACAAGGAACAGGAATTCTGCCAGGACCCAAGTAAGTGGGGAAATGGATCACCTCCCAGAGCCTCCAGAAAAAACAAACAACTTGCCAACACCTTGACTTTGTCTGGGTGAATTCTATGTCACTCTTCTGACCCACAGAACTGTAGGAAATTTTTGTGTTTTTTAAGCCACTGAGTTTATGGTAATTTGTTATGGCAGCAACAGAAAACTAATACACCTCTCCTCTGTCTTGATATCCTATTAATGTAATAGTAAAGAGATTTAAGAATAAATAAGATAAAAAAAGGTATAAATCCAAAAAGACAAGATAAATGAAAGAAGAAACAGTGACAAAATTAAAAAAAAATTAGAAGCTAGAAGCAGGAAGCAAGTGGTGACTGAGTTAGTGATTAGAGAAATCTGAATCCTAAGTAAACAGTGGGAAAGCCAAGACCCTACCATGAAAACTCCAAAAGACTCAGAAGTTAGTAGCATCAGCTACTTCTGGAAACTGGAGTGGAAGTAGGTTGAAAGCAGGAGGATCCATCAAAATTCCTGTTAAAGAGCAGTTAAACTATCAATATCCTTCCTTACTGCACTCACCTATTGACTATCCCATTCCAACCCCAGCAGAATACTAGGACTTCATCCTCTAAACATAGTGAAGTGGAAATCTTACAACTCAAAGACCTCAACAACCTTTGAGTGTGAGAGCTCCAAATGAAAAAATTGAGTTAAAATTTCCCTAGTATTAGTCAAATCCTAGAATGATGACAGCCAGGCTAGACTCTTGAGATGAAAATATTTTCTTCTAGGGAATCTGTCCAGATGAAAAGGAAATAACTAAAAGTTCTGGATGGAACTCCCCAGTGAACAACACTGCTCAAGTCTTTCTATAGTGAGGGTCACAGTTGAAAAATTTCCCCTCTGCATACAGAGCTTTCATCAGCTTCTTAATGACCTTCTCTTAAATAGGTACAGATAGCCAAGGGCCACCATACTTCAGAGGAGTGTCACTGAAATTAAAAAAAAGATAAAAACAAACAGAAAAACTTGTTGAAAACAGAGATTATACAGTTTTCAATTGAATTGAAAACTTCAAATAAATAAAATATTAATGTCTTCAGACAGACAAGAGAAGATGTATTGAAGAAATAAAACAAGAAGCTTTTTAAAAGAAAGAGAGATAAAGGGGAAGGAAGGAAGGGAGGGAGGGAGGGAGAAGGAGAGGGAGGGAAGAAAGAAGGCTTTAGAAAAATAAAAATAAAATAAAAGCCTTTAGAAAATAAAAATATGGTAGCAGAGTCCAAGCACAATGGCTCAAACCTATATCCCAGCATTTGGGAAGGTTGCGGTGAGAAGATTATTTGAGGCCAGGAGTTTGAGGCCAGCCTGCTAGGCAACAATGAGACCCCATCTCTAAAACAAAAATAGCCAAGTGTGGTGGCAGATGCCTGTCATCCCTTCTTCTTAGGAGGCTGAGGCAGGAAGATCCATTTGAGCCCAAGAGTTTGAGGTTACAGTGAGCTATGATGACACCTCTTCACCCTAGCCTTGTGAAAGAGTGAAACCCTGTCTAAAAAAAAAAAAATTATGGCAGAAACAGGAAATTCAATAAATTAATTGGAAGATAACATTGAGGAAGTCTTTTAAAAGCAGAATGAAAGAATGAGATAGATGAAAATAGAAGAAATAAGCATAAAAAAACAAATGGACATGAAAGGATACAAGTTTCAGCAGGAGAGAAGAGAAACAATAGATAATATAAAATCTTTTTTTAAAAAAGTTCAACCAAAAGACGTGATTCCAATTTTTATAGTTCATCACATGAGCAGAACGGTGGTCTCCCCTCTTATCTGCAGGTTTTTTTACTGTTATTTAAATTACCCATAATTGATTGTGATCCAAAGATATTAAATGGTAAATCCAGAAATAAAATATTCATAACTTTAAATTGCATGCCATTCTGAATAATGTGTTGAAATCTCACAATGCCCTGCTGCATCCTACCCAGGATACGAATAATTCCATTGTTCAGTATATCCACACTCTATGCTCTACCTTTCCCTTAGTTACCTAGTATCTATTTTGATTATCAAATTGAAGAAATATAGTAGATATAGGGTCTGGTACTATCTGTGGTTTCAGGACTCTCCGGGGGGTCTTGGAATCATCCCCCATAGATAAGGAGAAACTACTTCACAACAAATTAATGTGGACTCACACTGAGGCACATCCTTATAAAATTTCAGAACAATAGACACCGAATACATGACAAACTTCTGTGAGATAAAAACAATAAACATGTACTATACAAAAGTTCAAGTATCAGAGTGACATCAGACTTCTCAACCACAAACTGGACGCTGGAAGGAAATGGAACAATGCTTCCAAAAATTCTGAGGAAAAATTGTTTCCAATCAACAATTCTGTACTAACCTAATTATAAGTTCATTTTGAGAGTAGAATGAATACATTTTTAGACAAACAAATTGTTAAAATTTTTGCCTTGTATG